CTTTGAGGACAACTGTCCAGTAAAACGGCATATTACCAAGAGATGATCACACTGCATTAAGGGCAGTGGGGACTCCCCAGGCCCATTCTCACCATGCCAGATACCAGAGGAAGACGGCAGCAGCAAAGGTGGAAATGCACAGCAGTAGCAAGAGACGTTCTGGGGCTGAGGTTCTCAGGGCTATGCCTATCCCAGATTCACCCATCAGGGTTTTTTTTTCCTCGTGGGTCGGCTTCCCGAAACTTAAATGGCACCTGCTGCTCCTTTGACATGGCCACTGGCACATGTGCATACAGAACACACACACACACACACACACACACACACACACACACACACACACACACACACACACACACACACACACACACACTTAATTTGTGTTTTTCTTGTTTCTAGATTTTCTCTTACTCTTCTATCCAAACATCCTGAAAACCGAGAATTCACACGATTATCCCATTTTAATGTAATGCCATCATGGCTCTCAATTCTTACCCAAATTTCAGCATTTCTACCTACTTCTGTGAGTGGAAAATCTGTGATCATTATATCTATGGAATGCTCTCAAGTGACAATCTCTTGGATGCTGCCCATCACCCTCCCATGTCCTCCGCTAAGCTGCCTGTCTCTCCAGGATGGGCTCCAGTCCTCAGGTCAAGCCTGTGTCCCCTGAACTGATGCCTTCCTCCCTTTAGCAGGACCAGATACCTTGCTGAAGTCCTCACACCATGGCTGAGGAACCTCCTTCACAGGTCTTCTGTGCTGACTCCTGGTGCTAATCCCTGAGGACTCTCCCCTTACCCCTGAGGCTTTAACACTCCACTAGGTCACCTCCATGTGCAGAAGCCCTCATCCCCCTGGAAGGTACTGAGTGGCCACACAGAGCTATCCCACCAGGTAGACCGCATCCTTACCTTGCCAGTCTCTGAAACCCATACCAGCTCTGCCTTCTGCACAGACACTCTCCTCAGCCTATTTGACCACTACACCCAATGCCAGGACATCCACAACCAGGCAACGATGCTCTCCTTACCCTACTAGACACTAAGGTCCCACACTGATGTCTACAATAGAGACACTCTTTACCCATGCCTGGTCTACCCCTTGCAAGGAAGATCCTTTCAACCCTCTGTCTCTGAATCCAATCCAGTATGGAGCAAAGACTATGAACAGGTGCCCTCCTCACTATGCCTGGTGCCCTCCTCCCCATGCATCGGTACCATATTCACCATACACAGGTGCCCTACTCATGATACATGGGTGCATTACTCACCATGAGAGGGCACATGTGCACTCCCCAAGCTACACAGGTGCCATTCTCTCTATGCCTCGGTGCCCTCCCCATCCTACACTGGGGTCCTTCTCACCATTTATGGATGTCTTCCCCGTCCTGTATGGGTGCCCTCCATACCATGCGTGAGTGCCCTCCACTACATGCACGGTTGCCCTGCTCACCATGCATAGGTGCCCTCCTCACTCTACACAGGTGCACTCCTCACTATAAACAGGTGCCCTCCTCACTCTACACAGGTGCACTCCTCACTATACACAGGTGCACTCCTCACTATACACAGGTGC